GGGGGGGTTTGCCTTGCAGGGGTGTGGGAGGGGAGGGCACGGTGGTGACAGGAGGGACAGGGTGATTTTAAGGTTGGGTTTGAGAACTACCAAGAAAATACGTGGCTTTGGCTTATCCCTTCCCATAAGAGCCTGCTCGTAGCTGTTCGCTCTGGATTCTTCCTCAAACCTAAAAAAAAAAAATCCTCAGTGGTCAAGTCCCAAACACAATGATGTGAGATTCCAGATTGCTACCGAAAGCTCTCAAAAATCACCTTATCCCTTATTTTTGCCCTCTTCTTTTAAAACTAAACAATTTCTTGTGGTGCTTCCACTGGGAATTGGCCCAAGGGCTTTTCTTGGGACCAGCAGATGCTTTAGGGCCGTTGCAGGCAGCATCCTCCCTGCAACAGCATGAAATCATTTTATTACAGCTTTCGGTGTAAGTCCACGTTTAAAAACGATATCGACTTATTTGCTAGAGCTCCGAATGAGATAATCTTCATTGTCTGCTACAGAAGCCGTATGATCATCACGCAGGGGAAATGAAACCCTAGAGTTGGTTTTAAATACTCCTGAAAATAATTTTGTTGGTATTTTTTTATGTTGTTTTAATTGGAGCATCACCCTCCGTGCTGCATCCCAGCCCCTGGGATGAGCCCCAGGAGCAGTTGGGGTGTTGGCAGGACAAACCCAGGGGGAGCTGCTCCTTCCCGCACCCCTGGAGCTGCTCCTTCCAGCATCCCTGGAGCTGCTCCAAGTGACATGAGAGCAGCTCCGTGCTGCTGCCCTGGGCTTGCAGGCTGGCTGGATCCCGGGCAGGGCTGACTGGTCTCTGCTCGGGCAGGGCAAAGAGGCCATGGAGGAGGTGGAGGTGCTGATGGAGAGGATGAAGCTGCTGCAGGAGAGCCAGCTGGAGGAGGAGGGCGTCACGCAGGAGGAGATGGCCACGCGCTTCGAGCTGGAGAAGACGGAGAGTCTGCTGGTGGCTCCTTCGGGTGAGGGGGTGCAGGGCTGGGGCTGGCTGGGGATGGGGTTCCCACAGGATGGGGAAATCGTGGTGCCTTGCAGATCTTGCGGATCACTCCCTGCAGTCCAACGTCCTCTGCTTCGTGGAGGACCCCGAGTTCGGCTACAAGGACTTCACGCGGAGGGGGGAGCAGGCACCCCCCACTTTCCGTGCACAGGTGGGTGCTTGTGGTCCTGGAGGGGAAGGGGTGGCAGGGTGCTGGGTGGTGGGTCTTGGCAGGGGACAGTGGGGCTGTTCCCGAGGTTAAGGGTTTGGGTGGGAATGGACCTTAAAGCCCACCCAGTGCCACCCCCTGCCATGGGCAGGGACACCTCCCACTAGCCCAGGTTGCCCAAAGCCTCATCCAGCCTGGCCTTGAACCCCTCCAGGGATGGGCTGTGGACAGTGAGGGGCTGGGATGATGCTGGAGCTGAGCAGCACAACCGGATGCCAATAGTTGGGGGTGTCAACATGAGTGGGGAGACCCCAGGTTGTGTCCCTAGCTCTGAAGAGATCCTGTGGTGAGCACCCACCCGAGCATCCTTCCTCCGGCAGGATTACACCTGGGAGGACCACGGCTACTCGCTGATCAACCGCCTGTACCCCGACGTGGGGCAGCTCCTGGATGAGAAGTTCCAGGTGGTCTACAACCTGACGTACAACACCATCGCCATGCACTGCGGCGTCGACACCTCCATGCTGCGCAGGGCCATCTGGAACTACGTCCACTGCGTCTTCGGCATCCGGTGGGTCCCCAGAGCCTGGTCTGAACCTTAGAACCTTAGAGGTTGGAAAAGCCCTCAAGGATCATCAAGTCCAACCGTCAACCCAACACCACCCAACCCACTAACCCATGTCCCCAAGCACCACATCCACATGTTTCTTGACCCCCTCCAGGGATGGTGACCCCACCACTGCCCTGGGCAGCCTGTTCCAATGCCTCATCACTCTTGCAATGAAGAAATTTTTTCTAATATCCAGCTTAAACCTCCCCTGGTGCAACTTGAAGCCGTTTCCTCTTGTCCCATCACTTGGTACTTTGGAGGCCAGCACCCCCCTCACCACACCCCCCTTTAGGTGGTTGTAGAGAGCTTTGGGTAGAGCCCATGAGCAGGTCCAGCCTGGGAGCCTGGAGTTTGGGGAGACTAATGCCAAGTGATGCTGTTGGGGGACTCGGCTGAGGTCCCAGAAAGCCCTGAACGGGTTATTCCTGGGGTAACAGACCCTCCTCTCTCCCCCAGCTACGACGACTACGACTACGGGGAGGTGAACCAGCTCCTGGAGCGCAGCCTGAAGATCTACATCAAGACGGTGGCTTGCTACCCGGAGAAGACGACCAAGCGGATGTACACGCGGTTCTGGAGACACTTCAAACATTCAGAGAAGGTGCTGTGCCCTGTG